GTACTGTATATTGTCATATTTTAATCTCTTTAATTGGCATAATGAATGATTTAATCAGCCTCTAACAGGCCCAGTATTGTACTGAATCCCATTAGCTTCCATCAGCTGTCGACTGCAGTAAATGTGGTCCAAAACATTAATCCCACTTAATTCTTACATCTGTTTCCTTTCAGCTTCAGCGCAGATGACTTGCAGTGTGTGTATGTGAGGTAGAGAGACAGTCTTATTTACCTGAGAGGCAAGATTGACTTCAGTGTCTTAAAATATGTAGTCTGGTGCATTCAGAAACCATCAAGAGCAGTTCAGTCAACAGCTCTGAGGGTCCTGTCAGAGAGAACGCAGGTTCAAAATAGTCTGGAGAGCCATTGTGATTCACACATCATCTTTGGAGGCTTTCCTCTCAGGTTGTGAAAAGAGTCCGCAGTGAAGTTTCATTAATGCGAATGAGTCAGCTCTGACCGAAACCACAGAGGAATCGCATCAGCTCTGCGCTGAGCGGAAAGCACACACTGAGAACACAAAGTCTTTTATGGATAAATACTGACACTCATTACAGTTGCAAGATGTGTTTACTTGGAACTTAATGTTGGATGTTACCAAAATTTAAGCCTATGTCAGTAACTAGGAAACTCTTTTGGGGGCCACAGCGCAGTTGCCATCTGTTCACTTTAGTCCATTTGCTCTTTTCTAAATGGTATTTTCTGGACTTTCATTGTACTATCAACAGTATAACAGTAATATTATCATATCAGGGTGTTTATGGGTTGCATTAACTACATATAGGCAACAAATAAGCTAATTCTTTAAATGCATATTAATGTGTGCAGTGGTTCTAAACTGCTAAAAAAATATAAATGCTAAATGCACATAATAAAATGCAACTCTGCATCTAATTGTTAAGAGTTAGGATGGAAGTCTTGTCAACAGAATGCTTCTCGTATATTTTATAGTTGACATCAAAGGCTGTGCGTCCAATCAGCTCAACAGTATTTTGATGCAAATTAATCTGCCACTTATTATAAGCAGCTAAATTAGACAGATGCCAACATGGACAGTTTGCATGACATGGCCTAATTCTCAAAAACCATGCACAAAATTGTTCAAGGTAGAGAATAGGACCCAGACTATGGTAAATGTAATTAGATTTATCACTTTAAATTATATAAATATATTCATATAAATATACATGTAATTGTGCCAACTGGAATTTGTTTTATGCAGCAATGTAGTGGCTAAAACAGTTCAATTGATTCATATTCAGACATTTTCTTTTGGTCTATGGTCATAATGAAATTTGTTTACTGTTGATTTGTTAGTTTACCATTTGATGTCCAAAATATCCATCCATCATTAATATTTGGTGATGGCTTTCAGTTGGCTGTTGTGTTACAAACCACAGAAGCACAGCTGTGCAGGCATGCAGTATTAAATGTGTGCAGCCATGCGCACATAGTTCTGTGTTTATGTTGTTACCTTAAATCCAAGAGCAGGTCAGCAGGTTTTCAGCCAGAGGGGAATATGTTCTCTACATACCTACACACACAGTGAGCGAGAGAGAGAACCTGCTTGACAGTGATGGACTGTACTTTGTCGTCTCCTGTGAAGAGAGTCTTGTTGAATGAGATCTTGAGGTGGAAAGCAATAAGTCAGTCCGTGTGGCCTCTCCATGCGCTGCCATCTTTAAATGTGGCCCATCCATATTCTCCCTCACAGGGGACACACACACACACACACACACACACACACACACACACATACTAGCAGCACTTCTGCCTGTTGTCTGTCAGCATGTTGGCTTTAAGATTCACAGTGCATGGATGAAAAATGTTAATAATTTGTTGCACTACTGGAGTTTACTCTGCTGGAGATAAGATGTTCAATAGCACATTTAGATATTATTAGGGATGAATGGATAAGTATTGAGAGGATTTATATTGTATAAGTATTGAGAATACTGATACTGTGTTTTTTTTAAACTAGTGATCTTATTTAGAAAGTGAAATGTGAAAAATGTTTTAGTCAATTATTGTGTAGGGTATGAACATTTTGTCCCTCCACTTATGATAATGTGTCATCATAACTTTTACAGCTTTTTGATCACCCAACTTCTCCAGAAAAGTTGTGCCGGTCCACCAGCTAATCTAAATAAGCATTAACAGCTTGGAAATGCATGCTGGTCTAAGCTGGTCTTGTCAGATGGTGTTTATGTGTGAGGATGTGTACTTTTAGTTTCTGCAGTGTTCAGAGAATGAGAATCACTGTCAGATGTCATGCGAGACAGACACAGGGCCTTCAGGTGATAGAGGGATTCAGTCCAACTCAGCATTTAAGCCAGTCCACCTTCAGTGAGTCCTACAAGAGCTATGAGGATTGTGTTACTGAGTAAACTGCATCTACTGTATAACGAGAGAGTAAATACTTCAAGAACTAATTAGACTGTGTGGTTATTAATAATGTAATCAACCCTACTGTGACCTTTCATTGTGCTTTCAGCAAAGAACATTTTGTTCTGTTGTATTAAGCAACATCTATTGCTTAAACTCTCTAAATACACATGCAAGCAAATTTGCCACCATGCTTTCATTAAGACCTAAGAGAGTGTATTTATATTAAAGCTTGTATGCCAAGGTGACTCATGATGATAAATGAATGTGGGCAGGCGTAAGGTCACCCTTTGAAAGCATATCAGCACCTTTACGTTTGCATTTAAATTGGGAGTATCCCCACATCTAAATTAATTTTAAAGCCTCTGAAGAAATGTGAGGTCAGTCGAGCGAACCAACACTAGACCCTGATTAAGTCACAAATGGGATGTCTGTGATGTTCTCTTGCTCTGCTGATTGAATATTTGTTGTGATTCATTTGTGTGTTCACAGCAGTGACAGTGAATTAACTACATGGCTTGCCGGTGGTGAACTGGCATTAGATTATTATTTTAATTTATTGTGTCCTTGAAAATAAATTCATCCTTAGTTGCAAAGTTGATTCTGTCTAAGCTTGTGTTCCCAAAGTCACGGAAAATCTGGAAATATCCTTGAACGTTAAAACTGTGTTTTCAGGCTGGAAAAGTATTTTTAATAGACTACAGTTTTGGGTTCTTAAGTTTTTTTTTTTTTACGTCATCAAAGCTGCATTTATTTTTGATCGAGAAAAAAAACCCAGTAAAACATTGAAATATTATTACAATTTAAAACAACTTTTCTATTTTAATGAATTTTAGAATGTACAGTAATTCCTGTGATGCAAAGTTGAATTTTTCAGCATCATTATTCCAGTCTTCAGTGTCAAATGATTTTTCAAAAATCATTCTAATATGCTGATTTGCTTATTATTTTCAGTGCTGAAAAAAGTTCTGCTGCTTCATATTTTTGTGGAAACTGTGATACAGGATTCTTTGGTGAATAGAAAGTTTAAAAGAACAGCATATATTTCAAATGGAAATCTTTTGTAACATTATATATGTTTTTACTGTCACTTTTGATCCATTTAATATGCCCTAGCTGAGTAAAAGTATTCATTTCTTTTTAAAAAATCTTATTGACTCCAAACCTTTGAACAATAGTGCATATTTAATAAATATATATAAAAGTCTATAGTTATTTAGAAATTGCTATAATAATTATTGAATATACATTTTAGTAGATTCCTTTTATTTGTCATTTTTATGTTTCACATAAAAACGAGATTGTTTCACATGTCCACCACATCTCAGTAATTCAGTGCAAAAGTATAAAATAAATAGCTAATAAATAAGAAAATTAATAAATAAACTAAAATACACTAACATATATATATATATATATAGAGAGAGAGAGAGATAGATATAGATAGATATATATATCTTTTTTTTTTTTTTTAAATGCGGTCTCTTAAGTGCAGTTCACATTTTCAGATTAAGCAGTCTGATAGCTGTAGGGAAAAAGCTGTTTAACAGCCTAGTAGTCCTTGATCTGATACTTCTGTATCTTTTACCGGACTGCAGGAATGTGAACATGCCATGACTGAAATGAGTGGAGCCCTTTATGATGCCATCTGCTCTGCGCATGCAGCGTTCAATGTAGATGTCCTGGAGACACGGCAACGAGGCACCAATGATTTTTTCAGCAGTCCTTACTTTCCTGTTCAGTTTATGTCGCTCCTCTGCTGTGCTATTACCAAACCAGGACAAGATGCAGTAAGTGAGAATGCTTTCAATAGTGCCTCTGTAGAACATAATCATGGCTGGGACAGGGAGATCCACCTTCTTCAGTCTGCGGAGAGAGTAAAGGCGCTGTTGGGCCCTCTTGATGACAGCTGTGGTGTTGTCACTGGAGATCAGCTCATCCGTCACACTGAAATAAATGTTTCATTCATCCAATTAAAATTGTTTTTTAAATATCTATATTTTTTAACTTGAGCCAATGAAAAAGAAATAACTTGCCCTAAACAATATTTTATATGTGTATGAAAACTATTTTATAAAACCTGGCACAAAGTATATTTTTCTTGTTGAAGAAAGTCAATTAATTTAAATTCTATTTTTGATCCAAACAAAATAATATAGATTTAATCAAAACAAAAATTCTAATTTAAGAAATTTATTTTTATAGTTTTCATAGACATAGAAAATATTGTTTAGGGCAAGTTATTTCTTTTTCATTGGCTCAAGTTAAAAAATATAGATGTGAATCATTACCCTAAATTTTTTTAATTGGATTAATGAAACATTTTTTTCAGTGTAATTTCCAAGTTAAATCTATATCAGTTGTTTTATTTTTCCAATTTTAAAATTAAGATTTTCTGTTTTATTTTAATTCAATTCCAAATGCTAATTTAAAAACACAACAAAACATGATTTTTTTTATCTGAAAACATTTCTCCATAAAACAAGAAAAAACTAGTTGGTTTTTTTAACTATATGGTTTTATTCCACTCTGAGTTCACAATATTGGCAGTACTGAATTTTAGGCGCTAACTCACCTTTTTCCGAGGTTGAGCATTACCTGCTGAATAAAATATAACGTGCTTTTCTTACTGGAGTCTGTCTTGTCAGCTGCATCCTAACAGAGGAAGAAACCGATCGATAAAGACATTATCAAGTCAGTTAGATAATGCTGTTATCAAATACTCAAGATCATATGCTGCGTTCACACCATGTTCTACTTAGAGCTGTTCATGTCCTTGGACCGGGAACTGTGCGTTTCTATGGCAACACTATCAACGACTAAATTAATCTGAGGCAGTCAGGTACAGTCACGTGATACAAGTAGAAGATCTCAGAAAATTCCCAGATTACAGATGGTAATTATGGGTTCTACAAGGACATGAATTCTTTTTCCAAGTTGGAATCTTGTAATTATGGCAAATACAACATGGGATGAATGCACTTATACGTACCTGGTTTACTGTAAAAAGAGCTGGCCTTTGGGTGATGTCAGGCTTGTCATTGACAACTTTTCTGTGAAGAGCAAACATTAAAGTTACAGCCTTTATAAGGGCATCTGATTTAAGTGTTTACATTTAATTGTGCAGTGTGCCAGTCAATGAAGTGATCCTCCTCAGAACAGGTCTCAGTTGACCCACATGACATACAGCTGATCTGGAGTTTTGCTGTGAGGTGGCATAAACATTTTAGTGCATAAAGTAATTTAAATGTATGTACATGACTGATGTGAACAAAGACATTGTTTCGTTCTTGTATAACTTCCATGTTTGAACATAGAGACAGGGGTTAACAGACAGGGCTTAGCTTAAGCCAGGACTAGGCCTTGGTTAAATTAGGATATTTAAATAACTTTTATAAAAATGCCTGGAGAACTTTACTGGTGTGCATCTTGAGACACAACAATGGCACTGACTTATTTTAAGCTGTGTCAGTGCAAGATATTTTCAGTTAAGACAGCTTGAACATGCATTTTAGTCTGAGACTGGCCTGTGAATCCGGGGGATAATGTTTATATAACGTTAGCTGTGCTCTCTTTTCACATTTATGAGGGTCATACTTACACTTCCAAAGCATCTCTTCCATTTCTTCTTCCTTCCAAAACAAGATAGTCATTAAGGGGGCTCTGAACCTAGATAGAACAGAAGTATATTCATGCGTTTTTGTATTTATACCGTTAATTAATTTAAACTTACTCTTTCAAACAACAGCCATGTCTGTTAAACGTGGTCGTTAAATTATTGCACGCACCATATTAGCGCCACCATCGTCTCTCCTCCGCTGCAATAGCGGCTGCTGTATGAGTAAAATTAAAGGTGCAGTTAGGCCTGTCGCAATAATCAATATATCGGCTTATCCCGCAATATATGTACATGACCTCAATAATTTTTTGTGACGCAATTGTAACGCCCCTGTGGACTGTTTATTGTGGTTTCTTCCCCTTTTGTTGGTTTAGCCCGTATGATCATTAAGTTAATTACCCTCATTGTGCTCACCTGTCTGCCCCTCGTTATCTGCACTATATCTGTTCCTGTCTCTGGACCCAAAAGTAAAGTATAGCGGCGTCTTTCCCCTTGTTTGTTTTTCCGGTTTTTGTCCGTTTTTATTTTTTGTTATGGATTACCCCGCCTTCCAAATCCTCCTGCTGCAGCAGGGGGAACGCTCTCTTGAGGACCACACGGATGACTTTCTGTCCCTGGCTCACCTCACGCACTACCCGGACAACTGCCTCTGTACATTCTATCAAGTTGTACTTAACGCCACCACACGAGCGCAGTTGTCTGAGGATGGTCCTCGAGAGAGCCTCGCCACCTTCATCGAGTGGGTGCTACCCGGACAACTGCCTCTGTACCTTCTATCAAGTTGGACTTAACGCCACCACACGAGCGCAGTTGTCCGGGGATGGTCCTCGAGAGAGCCTCGCCGCCTTCATCGAGTGGGTGCTGGTGTCCTGCAAGTCCCATCTAACTGTGGACATCGCTGACAACAACACCAGCCCCACTCAGGACCCTGAGCCCAGCCCACCATCTCCCCGCGGTACGGAGCATAAACCTGAGCCCACCAATGACGGAGAGCCATGTCCCGTCACGATCCACGAGCCGGAGCGAAGCCCCGCGGCTGAGAGGAGGATCGCCTCGGATGTTGAGCCCAACGCGTCAGACCAGGTGCGAGAGCCGGTGACAGTGCCCACCACGAGGGAGCAAGCCGTGGACGGTGTGAGCGCGGAGAGGAGCTCCACCCCCTGCATCACGGCTGAGGGTGAGCTGACTATGGCGGGGCATAAGGGCCAGAATATGGCCTCAGCCTGAGCCCACCGATGACGGAGAGCCATTTCCCGCCGCGATCGGCGAGTCAGAGTGAAGCCAAGCGACTGAGCGGAGGATCGCCTCGGATGTTGAGCCCAACCCGTCAGACCAGGTGCGAGAGCTGGTGACAGTACCCACCACGAGGGAGCAAGCCGTGGACGGTGTGAGCACGTAGAGGAGCTCCGCCCCCTGCATCATGGCTGAGGGTGAGCTGACTAGGGCGGGACATAAGGGTCAGAATATGGAGGGAAGTCGGTGTCAAAACGAGGAGGAGAGACGTCGGAATCCTCAGTTTAGCCCAGGAAGGGCTCCCGATCCCCTGTCGAGCCTCGGAATGGCTCCCGATCCCAAATTCAGCCCGGGAAGGGCTCCCGATTCATCGTTTAGCCCGGGAAGGGCTCCTGATTCCTCGTTAGGCCCAGGAAGGGCTCCTGATCCCCAGTTCAGCCCAGGAAGGGCTCCTGATCCCCAGTTCAGCCCAGGAAGGGCTCCTGATCCCCAGTTCAGCCCAGGAAGGGCTCCTGATCCCCAGTTCAGCCCAGGAAGGGCTCCTGATCCCCAGT